CTCCTCCTCCTCCTCCTCCCTTTTACGTCCGAGCCGGTCTTCGTGAGGGCGCTGCGCTCACCTCAGGCGCCCGCGGCGAGCTCGGCTGCGGCCGCCGGCCGGCGCCCGCTGGACCAGTCCTCCAGGTTCTTCACCAAGGCGTCGACCTCCTCCGGGCTGTTCCTCGTGTAGGTGCCCTCGGTGAAGAAGGGCCCCGCCATGTGCTTCGACTGCGGCTCCCTGTCCAGGTAGAACGCGCCCGACTGTATCTTGCCCGCCGGCGCCGCGAGGAGCCACGCGATGCCCTCCGCGCCCTCCCAGGGCGTCCGCATCGGCTCCAGGTATCTCTTGCTGTCGCCGTACGCGGAGTCCACGCCCGAGGTGCTGGTCCAGCCCGGGTGGCAGCTGACCACCTTGACGGCGGGGTGCTGCTCCGCCCACCGCTCGCAGAGCAGGACCTGGCCGCGCTTCGCGTAGCCATAGGCGAACTGCCCGTCGTATTTGAAGGCAGGATCAGTCGACGTGGACGTGGCCACATCCCAGGCTGGGAACGGAAAGTTGTACATCCCGCCACTGCTCACCGCCACCAGCCGGGAGCCGCCCGTCGACTCCAGCGAGGGCATCGCCAGCCTCCCGAGGAGGTAGGTGCCGAAGATCGGCGGCGAGCGAGGGGGGAAGTGAGAAGGAGAAGGCCTTCTCAGAAGGCGGCGGGGCTTCTCAAAAGCCCTCGCGCCTTCTGAAAAGCTGCCTGTGTCCTCGGGGAAGGCTGAGACACTTCTCAGAAGGCCCGGGGACTTCCGAGCCTCCTGAGGAGGCCCGCCCCTCCTCGCATCCCCCCCGGGCACGCCGCCGGGAAGAGCAGGTGCGACGCGAAGGTCACCTCCACGCCCTCCGCGGTGAGGGCCTTCGTGTTCAGCAGCGCCCCCGCGTTGCAGACCAGGCCGTCCAGCCGCGGCGGGTGCGCGCCGCCGGCGGCGCCGGCCTCCATGCGGGCGAACTCCGCCCAGCACCGCCGCACGTCCGCCTCGAGGCCGACGTCCGCCTGGAGCACGCGCACGCTGCCGCGCCCGCCGTGGGAGGCGGAGATCTCGCCCCTGGCCGCCTCGGCCCGCTCCCTGCTGCGGCACACCATGCGTCAGGGCCCCCCCTTGAGCGGGGACTCTGGGAAGCCAGGGCGGTGGCGCGCCCGAGGAGCCTGCGGCCGTGGGTCGAAGCGCTCTCCCGGCCCTTCGCTCTCTCCGCGGTGCAGCTCTCAAGCTCCTGGAGGGCAGGATCCCCGCTCGGGGGGGCCCTGCATGTACACCGTGGCCCCGATCCCGGCCAGGAAGCTCGCCACCTCCTCGCGATCGGCGCGGAGAGAGGGGATGACTGTCTGAGGGGGGCGACGCTCTGAGCAGGCACGGGGATTCTTGGAAGCCCTCCTTGAGCATCGTTCAACCGACCCCTATCCCCAACGGCGAGGCATCGGCCCCACTGAATTGGCCGATTTACCCCTCTGCATGGGATGCAGGCCGTTTCCTTCGGGTCTCGAGGGGCATCCCCCCAACTGGTGCTGGATGGGGCTGGGGACAGAGGTCGGTGAAACGGTGCTGGCTCCTGCCGTCTGGGGAGGCTCCTCGGAAACCTCCCTGCGTCCCCCTCCAACACGTCGCCTGCAACCTTCGACGGCAGCCCCCCCGTCGCACCGCCCCCTGCGCGCCGCCGCTCCTTGCCGACTCCAGAGTTGGCCCCGGTTATCATGTACACCTTGCCAGTGAGGTCCAGGTCCTTGAAGGGACCCTGGGACACACAAATAAATACACACAAATAAAAGTATTCCCCATATTTTCCCATATTTTCTGCGTTTTTGTCTTCCCCCCCACTTCCCATATTTTCCCATATTTTCTGGGAATCGACGATTATTTGTGTCTGTGTGTCTCTTTTCCTCCTGAGTCCTTCGGGAGACGGGGCCGAGTGAGGAGAAGGCAGGACATCGGGCAGGAGAGGGGGCAGCCTGGGGGCATCTCTGCGAGAGGGGGGACAGAGCCTTGCCACCCCCCACGGCTGTTCGCAGCTGCACAAGTCGACGGGTCAGCGATCCTGCGGCTAACCTGCGGCTTCGACTCCAGCGCGAACTACGACGTGCACAACTGGTACGAGAAGAGGCTGGAGCGTGCACGGGTTAATCCAAACGAAGAGAAAGCAACCAGGCTGGAGGAAGGAGGAGGAGGAGGAGGAGGAGGAGGAGGAGGAAGGAGGAAGGAGGAGGGGGAGGAGGAGGCATAATGAGGCATGCGGAGGCAGAAGGAACAAGTCCCGGGAGAGGAAGTCGGGCTGCTCATACCGAGCGCGGTGCTTCTGCCAGCCCGTCTGGGTGAAGTGCTTCCTGCCGTAGATGTAGAACTGGGCGTGGGAGGAGGAGGAGGAGGAGGAGGAGGAGGAGGAGGAGGAGGAGGAGGAGGAGGAGGAGGAGGAGGAAGGGATCAGAGGGATCTGATGAGGCGGCCTGCGTTTTCCAGGCCCTGGCACACAGGCCCGCGGCACGAACCTGCGCCGCGCCGCAGTTTCCATCGCCGCGCCGTATTTTCGAACCGCACTCCAACGAATCGACGAGGAAGGCACAGGGGCGACCCGCACCAGGAAAACCAAAACGGCCCAACGGCCCGAGAGAAGAAACAGAAAGGCGAAGGGAAACCAAAACGGCCCAACGGCCAAGCAGGAAATGAACGAAGAGAAGGAACATAAGGACGACGGAGAAAAAGGGGAGAGGGTGTACTGCTTGCAGTCCCGGGGGCGGTGGTTTGTCCAGTGCGCAAGATGTGCGTGGGCGGCAGCAGAAAGAAAAGGGGGGAGCGGGAGGAAAAGAGGGGGAGCACGGAAGAGACACTACCGGAAGGAGGAGGAGGAGGTGGAGGAGGAGGAGGAAGAGGAGGTGGAGGAGGAGGAAGAGGAGGAATAAAAGATGAATGGCGGGGGTCGTACGAGGGACTGGGACTGGATTCGGTTTCCGTTGTGTTCTATGGCCCCTCTACATCACAAGGGGTGGGGTTGCTGGGAGGATGAGGGGGCGAGGGACGGAAGGGGGAACAGGCGGAAGGGGATGATGGTGATGATGATGATGATGATGATGATGATGATGATGATGATGATGATGCTGATGATGATGATGATGATGATGATGATGATGATGATGATGACGATGACGATGGCGATGGCGATGACGAGGATGATGACGATGATGATGATGATGATGATGATGATGATGATGATGATGATGATGATGATGATGATGATGGAGATGTGATGATGAG